AAGCACTGTTTTCCCTAACTATCTTCGAAACGTAGACCGTTTACTAATTATAATAAATATAATAAGGGCTTAACACTACGTCTACAACTTGCAACTTATACGTTAATGCTTCAGACAGTAATAATGTTTCGTTTGTAGAACACATTTCTCACAAATTGGATTAATCCAGCTGTGGAACTTTGTGAAAGTCACAACACGAACTTAGAATTTCAAGGCTACCAGATACCATCTTTGCTTGATAGTTAGATCATGGTTGGATAAACTAATGAAAACCACATTGTCCTCGAATCCAAACGTGACCATTGTCCTCGAGTCCAAGCGTGACGTATAAGCTGATAAGGCACTATTTGTATTTATGCTATGGCAGAGCTACTAAAATCATCTTCATATGTTTCTAATTTTGAGCTACTGACTAGACGGAAGGCAAGTCAGTCAACTGTACCCAACCACCCACCATTCATAAGGTGTTGACCGTTACTCTTATAACGCACTAAATGTTTAAAGTACAGGGAGTTATTTTATGGTATCGCACAGATTCGATCCTAGCTAGCCAGCTCCGAAATCCAGAGCCCTACCACTGGGCCAAGTCGCGCCCTTATAAGCCAGAAACATAGTTATATATATATATTTTATTTTTTTATAAAACTTAATTTATCAGTGATAATCTAGAGGGAAGGCAGCTAGTCAACACCATCCACCGCCAACTCTTGGGCTACTCTTTTAGCAACGAATAGTGGGATTAACTGTCACATTATAGCCCCACCACCACCACCACGACTGAAAGGACGAGCATGTTCGGTGACGGGGATTCGAACCCGCCAACCTCACATTGCGAGACGAGCGCCTTTACTACCAAGTCATGCCAGGTCTTCGTTGAAGCGAAACCGAAACCGAATAATCTCAAGTAAAACACATGATTCCCTATACACTTGCGTTCATTCACCCCCCCCCCCCCCCGTTATTTAAATGCTGTTGTCGTTTATTCATGGTTGGTTTAACAGGAAATAACTATCCAAAACAACCCCTGAAACACTGCTTATTTCTCCGAGCCGTTTGTATTACGAAATTTGAATACGATGACTTTGCAAGTAATACCTACAGATGGCGCTGTTGACTCCACCTGGTCAGTTCTGAATTGATCTCGTTACTTACCTACCTAGCACATGTCCACTAGGGTTTGTTTCTAATTAAGCATAAAAGCGACACAATGGGCTATCTGTGCTCTGCCCACCACGGGTATCGAAACCCGGATTCTAGCGTTGTAAGTCCGCAGACATACCGCTGTGCCACTGGGGGGGGGGCGCCCACTAAGGGAATAACATGATTGATTTTATTACAATTTGCCGCTTTTACGGTAAGTAAGATAAATTTGTAGAACAGGTACGTTTCGATCACTGGAGCGACCATTATCAAATACACAAGTTTTTCACAATAAGGAACGTTTTAGTATTTAAATCAACATTTAAAATCCAACAATCCAAAGTATCCTAGATTTGTCGTAGTTATTTATCAATCCGCAGGAATTTTACAGATTATTTACGAAAAGCTATAATCCGGGTTTCGATACCAAAGATGAACAAATATAAAAACTATGGAATATTTCATTGCCAAATATTTGTATAAGTTTAGGAGTGTGTGTAGAGAAATAACGATCAAAGGTATAAAGAGATGTGTCTGGCTATTTGTTAATTATGGGATTGTTTGATTTGATTAAAAAAAGCTTCTCTGATTTTTCTTCTGTTAGTGTCAGGCTCATATTTTAGTACTGTGACGTTCTGTTCAGAAAAACTGTCTTTGTTTTTACTCATGTGCTCATGGACTTGGGAAAGGGTGTTTTTTTTTTGTGTTCTTTTAACCTGATCGTCAAGTTACGACCGATGTAAAAGGCTGGACAACTGTTTTATGTAAATGTTTCCTGGTGAGGTGGGTTCGTTATACAATTTTGTTAACATGTGTTTAATTGTTATTCCAGGGGTGAAACCTAATCTGGGTGTTATGTTAAGGTTGTGTTTACGTGCTAGTCTTTTCGAAGTTTCTGACAGAAGCTCTCGAATATTTTCCATATAGCTGGGAAGGTTGTGTTTACGTGCTAGTCTTTTCGAAGTTTCTGACAGAAGCTCGCGAATATTTTCCATATAGCTGGGAAGGTTGTGTTTACGTGCTAGTCTTTTCGAAGTTTCTGACAGAAGCTCGCGAATATTTTCCATATAGCTGGGAAGGTTGTGTTTACGAGCTAGTCTTTTCGAAGTTTCTGACAGAAGCTCGCGAATATTTTCTATATATCTGGGATGGTGCAAGTAATTGGGTTTTCTTTGTTTTGTAGTGTTTGAGTTTGTTTGTTTGTTAAACGCCTCTTGTTTGTGTTATTTAAATTTATTAGTAGTTTCTGTAACTACTTTAGTGGGGAACTGGTTAACGTTAGTGAAACATTCAGTTAGGG